TGAAGAAAAATGATCTTTTGTTAACAGATCGTCAACATCAAGAAAAACCACCATTTTTTGTACATGTATATACTCTGAAACCAAATATCATAGCTTGTCTTAAAATTCAAAAGGACTTTATGTTATAATTAATAGAATCAGGCGTTACTTTGCGGAAATCCATTATATAAAAGCTTTTACAAAAATTTACTTCGCAAATATCCGCGTTATAAAATAAAATGATGTGTCTTACCTAGTATGAAGAAGCACCTCCCGCCCTCCCTCAATTGCGTGCACTAACCCCGTCACCACTAATCCCAGCACCGCTACTCCCAACACCACTACACTAGGCAAGACACACCACTGACGATAATACGACACGTGTTTCGCCTCTACACGAGGCATCCTCAGGTGATATAGACTCTACGGTGGCTAACCGCTAAGTGAGCGGCGAGCCAAAACAACTGCCTTTTATACAAACGGATGACGCAACCGCTCTCTACCTTGCATGTTTTATCGCATGACGCAGTCGCTCGCTTCTTAGGTAGAGAGCGGTTGCGTCATCCGTTTGTATAAAAGGCAGTTGTTTTGGCTCGCCGCTCACTTAGCGGTTAGCCACCGTAGAGTCTATATCACCTGAGGATGCCTCGTGTAGAGGCGAAACACGTGTCGTATTATCGTCAGTGGTGTGTCTTGCCTAGTGTAGTGGTGTTGGGAGTAGCGGTGCTGGGATTAGTGGTGACGGGGTTAGTGCACGCAATTGAGGGAGGGCGGGAGGTGCTTCTTCATACTAGGTAAGACACATCATTTTATTTTATAACGCGGATATTTGCGAAGTAAATTTTTGTAAAAGACTTTATGTTAATTAAATATTCATGGAGGCACCTATCTTTTTGTAAGTCTTTATGTTATATGATATTATAAAATATAAATATACATAAATAATATATTACAAAACCATATAGCAGTGCAATGTGCATTTGGTTTTATAATTACATTCCGAAACTTTTTCGGTTCCGTATATACGTTACCGGCATTTTGGCTTCGGAATGGAAGTAACGTATACATTCCTTAGAGCAAAAATATGTTAAACTTTTCTACAATTTTATAATCAAAATATGTACAGCACATAAATAAAGATAATAGTAACAATTGTGGACTTCTTACCGAGGTTTTTAGTTTCGGAAGACAGCAATCCAAAATTATACCACAGAAAACAACTTACAACTTTTAAGAAATGTACAAACGTACAAATTTTAAGAAAACGACCCAGGCGCATGATGGCTAAAATGTCATTAGAACTAGGGAGGGAACAGCGGAATGGTGATTCATCACTAGAGGAACCGTGGGGACAGAGACTGGGTGTGGGCACTGAAACTGCATTCCTGTCACATGCCTAATTGTTTTGGCCAAGTTGTAGTCCAGAACATTTTGAAAAGGAGTAATTTATTTTCTTCAATATGGCCGTTGGTATTGTGATTAGGTCACAATAATTCTGCCAATGTCCAGTCTTTGGTCTCTCATATCTTTGTTTGAGGTGTCTCGGTGGGGTAATGTGACAAATAATAAAATTGGTGAGATAAAATCGAAATATATACATAGTATACATTAAGACATAACAAAGTAATACTAAATGTTCGGGATGGTGATTGTTTACAAAAAAGATTGATTTTTAAATCGATTCATATCGAAAACAGATGAATCGATTAACAAAAATATTGTGGTCTAAAAGATTGAGATCTCTAAAATCGATTTTTTTTCAACTTTGTAAACAAAACACAGATTGATTACAAACAACTTTTTTTATTTCTATAATCATTAAAAAGTTAAAGAAAATGACAATTTTGCGAGTTTGTAATAATTCTATGAAAAACTGTCATTTCTATAAAAGCTTTTACAAAAATTTACTTCGCAAATATCCGCGTTATAAAATAAAATGATGTGTCTTACCTAGTATGAAGAAGCACCTCCCGCCCTCCCTCAATTGCGTGCACTATCCCCGTCATCACTAATCCCAGCACCGCTACTCCCAACACCACTACACTAGGCAAGACACACCACTGACGATAATACGACACGTGTTTCGCCTCTACACGAGGCATCCTCAGGTGATATAGACTCTACGGTGGCTAACCGCTAAGTGAGCGGCGAGCCAAAACAAGTGCCTTTTATACAAACCGATGATGCATGTAAGATTACATACGTGTAATAAAGGGCTGCGGCTGTGTGTGCTGGAACAGTTAGAGATATTAAAAAGTAATAATAATACCGTTGCATTGCTGAATGAACAAACAAATGTTACTAACTCACCTCTCTTAAATATCTTCAAGCCTGCTCTCTAATAATAGAGAGCCTTGCAGTATGGTCGTTTGTCACCCTCACGGTGATCGGCGATTGGTTGCGTGGTTAGAGGGTGGGCGTTGCGCGGCGGTTTGTTTTTAATTTTACAAACGGCTGCGTAAGTCCAGCGGTGATTGGTCGCATGTTTTATCGCATGACGCAGTCGCTCGCTCCTTAGGTAGAGAGCGGTTGCATTGTTATGTATGCATTTGGGTAAATTCTACTTATTGTAAATAATTTTATGGTTCTTATTAAAACATAAAATATCAAAGTTCGATTATCACACGGCCTTTTTCGAACAAGAAATTGATTCTTCGATTAATTGATCTCAGATCACCATGCCTACTAAACATAGTATATAGTAGTGATACATAGTATATGTTGAATGTAGAGAACTGGAGATTTTTACTGGAAAGAGGTATTCCATCTTAGTCCTCAGAGGTGAAAACACATCTGCTTTTGATTCTTAATTGAGGATAAAGTAGATGTATGTGTTCCAGCATCCATTTGTCATCAGGTGGACTGTGTGCTTGTTTGTCACTCTTAATTTTATATAAAAGTATGTAAATGTAATTCAATACAAATGTAGCAGCTACTACACATATTCATGTCTAGTAGGTACTTATACAACTTGGCTAAAACAATTGGGCACATGACAGGTATGCGGTTTCAGCACCTGCACACTGCCTATACACCTGCGCTTCCCTTAGTGACACATCACTGTTCCGGTGTTTTCTCCCTAGTACTAATGTCGTCTTAGCTGTCTTGCGCCTTGGTTTGGTCACGTAGTACTATACGAATACTAATTGGCCCGTTTCCAACTCTTGTCTTGTCTACTATGGATATCCTCCATATTCCCTAACTTGTCCTTCAGCTCGTAAGAGTCCACTGCTGGACATGGGCCTTGGTAGGGAGAATTCACCTTAATCAAGCGTCAGTAGCCTAATGGCAGGGCACGGACCGTGAACTTGAAAGGTCGTGGGTTCGAATCCGCCATTCGACTACTGTCGTGAACCACTTATAACACAAGCATTTTAAGCTTACCAGAAGTGGTTAAAGGGAATATTAGTAATGTTTAATCGCATTACTAGTATTTAAAAAAAAATCACACATGATAAGTGAGATATGTGAGTAAATCAAATGATATAATACCAGACGTCTTTTCTTATGTAGTAGAGCCATGCTGCAGCTACATTGTGGTTGTAGCACAAATCGATCTACTCAAACAGTAGTAGCACCACACTCTCACAGAATACCAGCGTAAAATAGCAGCTTAACCGGTTCAGTGCGAGTGACACGCCAGGCGTGCCATCGATTACTTTTGTGTGTGGCGTATGACACGCGAGTCGTGTCTTTAAAAATCGTTATAACTCGCTCAAATTGCTTTTTTGGAAAATTTATCCAGAACAAAATATTCATTATTTTGCGAGTAGTTCATGCATGCAGCTTCGTTTCTGGATATTTTGAAAATTTGAAATTTTTAAGGGTTGACAACCTTTTTTTAACGTGTACATTTTTTACTTTGTGGGCTTTAAATCATGTTATGGAAAAATTGTCTAATAAGTAACAAATAATAGCACTCATTGCGATCGCTCACAAACTCAAGTTGTAAATAAATTTCTGGAAAAACAAGTCTCCTGTTAAAAAAAAAACAATGCGTTTGTCTTATTGTTTAATTTTGCTTAAAATGGTTGAACTGCCGTCTTATGACTATCATGGCCGAATAGACCTACGAAGTACCATGTGCTCTTGTGATATGGTATAAGGTTTATTTTTGCTTGAAACAGTTCGAAACCGTTCATGCATAAAAAAGTTCGCTAATAAATATCTTATAGTAATATATATATATATATATATATATATATATATATATATATAGCAAAAGCTGCCGCGTGGCTCTACCACTGTTAAAACAGTACTGTATAACAGTAATTCACCATTATACGCATTGATATATTAAAAGGGAAAGATACGTCACTAAATCACAGCTCCCGGTCCTACAAAACTACGGGATTGCCCGTACTTGGCTCGTAGTGTCACTCAGTCGCGCGCTGAACGTCGTTGATCATACAGCTCTTTAATTTCAGTTCTTTTGCTATTAAATACGCATTAAAATGACTTCTTTGACGAAGAAAGAAAAATGAGATACACGGAATTACTTACGACTCTTAATTATAGTTAAAATTTTTATTTTGTTGAAAATTATGATAATATTTATTGTTTACTTCGCCAAGTTTGTGAGAGCGAGATACATAATACAGATATGCGTGAGAGACACGATACGCGATTAACTAACGCGATTTCGCTCGCACAACTACGAAGGTTCCTATCTCTGTCCTTGTCTATCGGTAAATCTAATTTTGCGATTATGAAAACAGATGTGTAAGTTTCGGTCACTTTCGGTGCATGTAGTCGTGCGCCGAGCCTAGGTTTAGTGATTGCGATATTAGCGCGTAACATATCTTCCCCTTTTAATATATCAATGATTATACGTATATTTTACGAAAACAGCACTTAAAATTAGTTAAATACTATAAAACATGCTTGTGTCAATCATACAGCATACTAAATAAAGTGCACAGGCATATATTTCCGCTCTTGCTCTGCACAAGTATATACTCTACCAATATATAATAATAAATGAATACTTAAATTTTAAACAAACATAATGTCTATTACAGAATGTCGTCTCGACGCAACGGCTCAGTGTCTCGGGCGGCTGAGGCGGCGTCCAAGAATCGCTTGCACATGGACCGCAACCCGCAGCACTCGAGGTTGACTGGTGAGCATTTCAAATCTATATACAGTGGATTTCGGGTATAACGATGATGAAGAGACCACTCTATTTTCGTCGTTATATCCGAAAGTCGTTACAGGCAAAGGTAACAAATAAATACTACAATAACTATAATGTATTGACATTATAGTTGCTACTCAGAATATCACTTCGTAATTGAACCATAAATTTAACTCCCAAACATACAACCTTTCCTACCTACTTAGCTGATATCTATAAACAAAAGGTAAAGGTCTCCACACTTGCTGACCATCTGTGTGAAAAACAAAAGATAAGAAATGTTTGTGAAAGAAAGAAATCTTTGTGTCTTTGGCCTCCGACTTCCATCCAATATCTGCATGGGATTTCTAGGAATTTGTTACAAATGATTCATTAAAAACAGTCCCTACACCTAATTTAACATCACTATAGGTAAATGGTTGCTACAACCAAGAAATCCATTGTACCATATGTTCCATTGTCTTTGAGTTTGTCCAATGGACAATAAAACTAAATGTATAATTTTTACAACACTAAATTACCAATGTCAATGTGCTTTTAGATTTATTTGGTTGAGCCATGTTACATCCCTGTTTTTTTTTTATTACTCTATGAACCTGCCGCTCAGGGGCACGTATGTATTTAAACATATATTTAAATCAGGTAGACTAAGCTTTGCAGTGGATATCATAATACACAGACCCTACACCCTACAGACCCCCATGTTCTATATACGATACTTTTGAAAAAATTATGGAGGAAGTTTTTGCTAAGCTTAATAAACAGAATAAATCTGTTGTAATATGTGGAGACTTTAATATCAATCTCCTAGACGCTTCCTCAATCAATATTAATTTTAGATCATTGTTTAAATCATATGGTCTTTTTAATTTATTTTTAGAGCCAACGCGTATTGCTCAATCTAGTGCAACATGTATAGATAACATTTTTACAAATGTGAAGCCGTTGCATAAATGTATAATTCAAAAATTAAGTTCTGATCGCTGTGGACAGGTAGTTTCGTTACCTTATGTTCACAAAAAGCAAGTAGATGAGAAAGTTGTGTTTGTTCCAGTAAATGCACGTCGCTTGGAGAAATTTAGAAGTAACATAGTGAAAAAACTTCCATCACTCCATAGCAAAATGATCCAAATTTTTTGTATGGAACATTATTTAAGCTTATTTGCAATGAATTTAATAATACTTTTACTTCTAAAATATTCTCCTTGAACAGTCTGAAGTCATTTAATGAATGGGCGACAGTAGGAGTCCATAGGAGCAGACATAGGTTATATGATCTTTACCATGAAAGGTCATATAATCATAGCGTCGAATTTAGGGAATATGTGAAAAAATATTAAAAATATTTAAAAGAGTGTGCTCCACAGCCAAGTCTTTGCATTTGAGCAACAAAATTAAGACGGCTTCTAATAAAATTAAAATGACATGGAGTATAATTAATAGCGAAACTGGTAAGATCAACTCTAGCAATTCAAACTACCAGTTAAGTGTTAGTAACAAATTAATCGAATCAGATCAGGACGTTGCAATGGTTTTCGAGAAATATTTTACTGATATTCCGATATTAACCACTAAGTCACTGAATTCTTCTCCTGCGGTCGCCGCATCATTACTTAAACAAAATGTAAATGCGTATACAAAGAATTTTGCATTTCATAAAGTATCATCAAAAGATATTGTAAAATATTTTAAAACTATTGATGTTAAGAAAACTGCGGATCTGTGGGGGATTTCCGTTAAAGTTATTGCGTCTATAATAGATACAATCGCGCCTCATTTAGCTATTATTTTTAATACTAGTATTGAATCTGGTGTGTTTCCTGATTTAATGAAGCATAGTAAAGTAATACCTTTATTTAAATCTAGTAGTACATTAGACCCCGCCAATTTTAGACCTATTTCTGTACTACCAACACTTAGTAAGATTTTTGAAAAAAATTTTCTTGATCAAATGTTAAATTTCTTTAATGTAAATAATTTAGTTCATAAAAATCAATTTGGTTTCACAAGGGGTCGCTCGACAACTGATGCCGGTGTTGAGCTGATTAAATATATATTTAATGCATGGGAGAATTCACAGGATACAGTATACTTTGTGATCTATCCAAAGCCTTCGATTGTGTTCACCATGAAACATTAATCAGGAAACTTCAACACTACGGTGTAAGAAGTGATGCTCTTAAATTAATTATTTCATATTTAAGTAAGAGAACGCAAAAAGTTGTCATTAACGGTATGAGTTCTTCCGGGTCGATGGTACAAATGGGCGTGCCTCAAGGCTCAATTCTCGGCCCCTTTCTGTTTCTTGTATACATTAATGACTTACCTTACATAGTAAGAGATAACCATGATATAGTATTATTTGCAGATGACACTTCTTTAATTTTCAAATTAAGTCGACAATTGCTAAAATATGACTGAGTAAATAATGCTATATCTAAATTAGTAAATTGGTTCAATGTTAATAATTTGCATTTAAATGGCACTAAAACGAAATGTATGAAATTTATGACTCCAAATGTCAAACAATTAAATACTAATGTAATTTTAAATGGGGAGAAACTGAGTCTTGTAGATACCACCATTTTTCTTGGAATCACACTAGACGCGAAGCTTCAATGGAGCCCCCATATATCAAAACTAGCAAGCAGACTTAGTTCTGCAGCATATGCCGTAAAAAAGATTAGAAGTCTAACTAGTGTTGAAACAGCTAGACTAGTTTACTTTAGCTATTTCCATAGCATAATGTCGTATGGTATTTTGCTATGTGTCCCCATAGCAAAGTACCATACGACATTATGCTACGCAGCTGACACTGAAATTATATTTGTTTTACAGAAGAGGGCTATAAGAGCAATTTATGATTTAAAGCCTAAAGAGTCGCTGCGACAAAAATTTAAGGAAATTAATATATTAACTTTGGCGTCTCAATACATTTATGAAAATGTAATGTACGTACACAAAAATAAAAGTAGTTTTACAAAAATAAGTGATATTGATTCTGTAAATACTAGGAACAGACACAAGCTAGTAGTACCAGTTAATCGACTCCATCGAGTCAGTAATTCATTGTTGGGGCGATGTATACGCTTTTACAACAAAATTCCAGAAAATATACAAAATTTGACCTGCTCAAAGTTCAAAAACTTTATTAAACTAAGTTTGTATAAAAAGGGTTATTATAATATTAATGAATTTATAGATGATAATAACCCCTGGAAATGAGGTGATCGCTACCAAGCTATTATTTCTAATTTGTTGTGTTGTTAATTTGTGTAACATACATGATTGTAAGCTGTTATTTAAAAAAAAAGTCCCGCTGGGTTTCTTGCTGGTTCTTCCCAGGACAGAGGTTTTTTTTTCGAACCAGTGGTAATCATACAAAAGAGTGACTTTCAATAAGTATTATTTATAATCTATATGGAATAAAAAGTTTCTGTTTCTGTTTCATAATAAATTTTAAAGAAAATTTTTGTCACTAAGGGTGGTAAAATAGGGGATGAAGTTTTACATGATCATCATTACAGCCCTTCACAAGTCCACTGCTGAACATAGGCCTACTCCAAGGAATGTCACAAAGCACAGCCCTGAGCCACCTACATCCATCGACTTCCTGTTCCTGTATGTTTTACCAACTATAGTTTTTAATATTTAGAGTCTAAATTTTAGACATTCTAATTTATCTATATTAACTTATATATCTTAGTCCACTCAAAATAGTAAAAAATAAGGAAAACAATTCCATCTAATAACTGCAGCAACTTTACAAGCTATTATGTGGAATTTTGATTGAACTATGAATTGTATTTTGAGTGGACTAAGGAATGTCACAAGTTCAAGGTTTAATATGTGGTAGAGCCATGCTGCAGCTATAACTATATTAGTAGTATAGTTGTAGCACAAATGAGTCAGCTCGAACGGGGTAGGACCACGCTCTCACTGAATACCAGTAACAAATAGCAGCTTAATGCTGCTGTGTTTCGTGTGGTGAGTGTAGAGAACCGAAGACACTTTTTACTGGAAATGAGGCATTCCATTGTAGTCCTCACGGATGACAAACCATCTGCATTTTGATTCGTAATCAAGGATAGATCTAGATATCTATGGGCCACAGCATCCACATAGCATCAGTACCAGTGAACGAACATGTCTTAGATCTATACACTGGTTGTACAATCATGTTTTCAACTTTTGAGTTATATACATGAGAATTTGGGTTGTAATCTCACAAATGCTGCCAGTCTGTCAATTGATTTATCTTTCGGTCGAAGTTAGATTTGCCAAGTCGCACAATAATCATCAACAACTTCGAGCACAGTGTTCCTAACAACTACTGGCATAGGTGTGACCTTTGTGTATTGTCCGTGTTCATAACAACACCTATCTGTTGGGAGACACAATTAAGAATATTGAGCATAGTGCTGAGGTCTTCCAGCGATTCTGCCATAATGTCTATAATCTATATCACCAACAAATCGAAGGGAGTGATGTACTCGTCATTGATGGTACTGTATACTATCCAATCCAGCCAGTTGAAAACTACTTCCAATGCAGCGGTGAAGAGTTTCAGGGTAACATCAACCTCTCTGCACTCTGTTTCGTACTCTGGTTCCATACTCAGACAGCCACTGTAGCTCTACAGTACAAACACTAACACTTCAATATACGGACTGTCGACTTGGCACTGCTAAAGGGGATACTTTTCGACGGCATGTAGTACATCCACTTAAGCAAGATGAAGTGGTAGATTGTACTCTTTAATCTTCTTTCTTTATATATCCCAATTCTGTTCTTAATTTCACCAATTTCTCAGAAACTGCTAAATTGATTTGAACTATTCTTCTTCTATTATATGGGTAACAGGGTGGAGAATAAGGAATGTTACTTTTTTTATAGGATAAGGGTGACAAGAAGCACACAGTCCACCTGATGCTAAGTGGATGCTGGGGCTCATAGACATCAACATCTATCCTTGACTACGAATCAAAATGCAGATGCGTTGTCACCCGTGAGGACTAAGATGGAACGCCTTGTTTATGTACCCACTAGATGAGCATAAAAATATCATAAATACCAATATGGACGAGACCTGGATCCACCATTTTAATGCTGAAACCAAACAACAATCAATGGTTTGGAAATGAGCGTCCTCACCGACGCCGAAGAAGTGTCAAGTACGGCTGGAAAGGTTATGGCGTCCGTTTTAGCGAGACAAACGAACAGCAATTGATTTTTATATATAGATATTACATTGATACTATATTTATTTCGAGAGGCCCTCTTTTCCAGAAAAAAATATTGTTTCAATGTCAGTCGGGTTACTCTGTAGCGAAATTTCATATAACTAGGTATGCTATAAAAATAACTAAATTAAACCAACCTTGCTCTTTCAACATCAGCACTAAGTCTAATTGTTAATTCAGATATATATTCCCCCCTTAAATTTGAGTAATAACTAATAATCAATTCATTCATTCATTACAGCCCTTCACAAGTCCACTGCTGAACATAGGCCTCCCCAAAAGAATGCCACAAAGCACGGTCCTGAGCCACCTGCATCCATCGACTTCCTGCATGTCTTACCAGGTCGTCACTCCATCTCGTGGGGGGACGCCCTACACTTCGCCTACCGGTACGAGGCTGCCACTCGAGAACCTTTCTTCCCCATCGGTTGTCGGTTCTTCGAGCTATATGGCCGGCCCACTGCCACTTCAGCTTACTAATCCGTTGGGCTATGTCGGTTACTCTGGTTCTACTGCGGATATCCTCATTCCTAAGTTTATCACGCAGAGAAACTCCGAGCATAGCCCTCTCCATAGCTCGCTGAGCGACCTTGAGCTTCCTCATACGGCCAGCAGTGAAGGACCACGTCTCTGTTCCGTAAGTCATCACTGGCAACACGCACTGGTTGTACAATTTCGTTTTAAGGTTTTGAGGTATGTCTGACGAGAAGATGTGTCGTAGCTTCCCGAACGCTGCCCAGCCGAGTTGAATCCGTCGATTGACCTCTCGGTCGAAGTTGGGCTTACCTAGTCGGACTATTTGTCCCAGGTAAACATACTCGTCAACAACTTCGAGCTTAGTGCTCCCAACAACTACCGGCATAGGTGTGACATGGACATTAAACATGATCTTTGTTTTGTCCATGTTCATCTTAAGACCTATCCGTTGGGAAACACTATTGAGGTCATTGAGCATAGTGCTTAGGTCCTCCAGCGATTCTGCCATAAGGACTATATCGTCGGCAAATCGAAGGTGAGTGATGTAAGACTAATAATCAATAATATATAATAATTTTAATTCAAAGCAAAAACGCTTGTTTTGTTCCTTTCATGAAATCTTTACTTTTCATTGGGGCCCCCCAACAAATTTTGATACAGGGCCCATCTAAGGCACGCTACGCCGCTGCTTAGTCCTCACGCGTGACAACGCATCTGCATTTCGATTCTTTAATGAGGATAGATGTATATGTCTATAGCGCACAGCAACCACTTACCATCATGTGGACTGTGTGCTCGTTTGTCACCCGATCCAAAAAAAAAAATGTAGACATTTAATATACAAAAACGCACCACTTTTACATATCAAAATCCACTTCAAACCATTATTTAAACAATAATACAAGGAGCAGCAATCCGTCGCCGGCCAAGTTCCCGTCAAAACTCGTTAGTGTGCGTGAAACCAAAAGCACAGAATAAATAATAGTACTACAAAAGCGAGTACGGTTAGCGACAGCACGCTCGCAACCACAGAGCAAATACAAAGAGGAGGTGTTGTAAATAGATTTCACTATGTAACAACGCGAGACAATTTACGGGGTGAGGGGATGTTAAGCCCCGCCCACTTTACACTATCTACATCTACCGATAAACAGTAAAACTACTCGAATCGTTGATATATCGATGTTGCAATGTAGTTTAGCTACCTTGACGATAGATGGCGGTCTGTTCACAAAATGATTATGAAAACTATAAAAATAATATTTTGGCGATTAAAAAATTGTTTAGGACTTAATGCAAAACAAATTTGAACACCTTCGTCTCGTATGATTATTTTATCAATACTGTGCTCTACGTAACTTTATATTTTTAGTTCCCTTGACACAAAGTGTCACCATCTTGTGTCGAATATATTTATTTACATTTGAAAGCCGACGCATAGATTTTTCTAAAACTTTTTAATAAATTAGGTATAAACTTACTTACAAATGAAATGTAATGCCGTCCATAGCATCAGAGCGTCTCTATTTGAGTAGTTTTTACAGGATTAGTAGATTTAACAGTGGTAGAGCTAAGCGGTAGCTTTTGCTGTCGCACGGATGGGCCAGCTCGAACCGGGGTGGTACCACGACCTCACAGAATACCAGCGTGAAGTAGAGGTTTACCTCTGCGTTGGGCTTTGTGAGTGCAGGTGGCCGGAGGCCCAATTCCCCCCCGCCCCCCTCCCATCAGCATGGTAGTGGAATTAAATAAAAGACTACCCCAGGAGGGTACCAGCACCCCTGGAGAATCCCTCGCTGAGCATCCACGACCAAACTACTTCATTCCTGAGCGTGGGTGCTCAGGCTGCCCCGCGTATTCTGGGGGGGGGGCAAAATTCCGCTCGCGACTAATGCTGCTCGGGGCAAGCGGAGAAATACAACCAAGGCGACCCATGTCACGCTATCCGTGAATTTTTGCAACATCAGGGGACTTCATTCCAACCTTAACGCTGTCCATTACCATCTAGAGACGGCGAAGCCGGCCTTGCTCTTTTTAACCGAGACTCAGGTGTCCTCTCCGGCTGATACGTCATATCTCTCCTACCCGGGGTACAAATTGGAACACTCCTTTGTGCCCCGGGCTGGAGTTTGCGTATACGTCAGAGAGGACATCTGTTTTCGACGCCTCGGCAGTCTTGAAGGTACGGACCTGTCCATCGTATGGCTGCGCGTAGACAGCGACGACCATCCCCGCGTCTACGGGTGCCTCTATAGGTCCCATAGCGGTAATGCCGACACAGACCGACTCCACAGAGTACCTTTGTATAAACCGAAATAGAGAACAATCTTCGACCTATAAAACGGCAATGCATAACTAGCGCCATCTTATTTCCTTAGTTAGCAACTTTATTCTAATATCTATAGCCATAAATGTATGTATACATAAGCTGCAAATATATATAGCCTACGTATATATATATAATGGTTCTCTCAGACATTAATAATTAAAATAAAACTCCAACATAAATTTTACAAGATTTATTAAAAAAATTACGCAAATACAATAATAATTACCATTAATATATAATTATTATCAGTACATTTCTTCAACTTGAATATAGAAATTTATGAATCGCCAAGATAATCGTATTCCCAGACAGACACACTAAGTGAAAATCCTGAAACAAAGATAAGAAAAAAAATTTAAATTATGTAAATCTGCACACAACTTCTTCAGTTATATACATAATTTAAAACGCGTCAAGAGAGAAAATCGAGATCATTTGGAATTGAAATGAATTATAAACCAATTGCTTATCAAGTAAGCAATTCTGCATTATTGTTCCATTAAAATCGAATCCAATCTTGAATATTTGTTTTTCTTAATCTTTTAAGATTAACTAAGTTGAAATGGAAATAATAACAAAATTCAGGTCGTTCAGAATAACGGCAATTTATAAATTTTTGAAATGATTTTAAACCAATTGCTAATTCAGTAAGCAATTCTGCATATTGCTCCATTAAAATCGAATCAAATATTAATAAAAACAAATATAAATGCAACAATATTTTTACAATTATAGTGAATATTTGGAAACAAATATTCAAGCAGTATGCTAGCAATGAAGACGACTTAAATTATATAATAACTTATATAATATATCAAATAATTTAAAGCTCAAAATAAATTATGCTTGTTTGCATTATTTCTGACACACTTTTTTTTTTTATGAAATATGTATTAGAAATAATATTGCGCTGTATTGTACCTTGTACACACTACTCAATATCATCCCGTGGGTGTCGTAAGAAGCGACAGAGATACACTAAAACGTGAGATGGGTATCAGCCTCTTTAAAAAAAAACGATGCGGTTGCCAACTCACCTGAAATACTATGGTAAATATTCCAATAGTATCACCAATCTTTAGCATAGACTTATGACGATGATAAAATGTTCTTAAAAACAAATTATTTGATTAATGTTGTAATAATGCGCTATTTACATATATTCAATAGACTCTTGCAATATAAGTAAATATCTAATCCATTTAATAACGATATATCTCCTAATTATAAAAATATTTTTGCACCTTTTGTACAAAAAAAATAAGATCCTTTAATCTTACTTTTATAACTCGGTAGTTCAATTTAAGGCGTATCTTTTATTACATAGCATTGACAAATTTGTTTAAAACGCACGAATAAATCAAATTTGTAACAGTAATTAAATATTTAAGTCTTCTGGTAGCAACCAGGATCTTAAATTAAAAAAAAATATATTTCTTTCTTTTAAAAAGTTTACTTCTTAACTTCTTGGTTTAGTTAGGAAATAGTTCTCATCATCATCTACTTCTTTTCTCCCAGCAAATATTCTATTAATATTTTGACAACTATTAAAATCAGACAACGCATCACAATATTAATTAGATAATCAACTAATTTATTTTTATGCACATTACATTTCATAAAATCAAAATCAATTAAAGTATATATGCTTGTGTTGATTATTTCCTTTAACTGATCATTTTCAAAATTGTCCTTTGAAATATGATTGATTATATCCTGCATATTTGATATTGATTGAATCAAATCAATACTGGGAGTACAAAGCCATCGTCTACCTGCATATTCTCTGTATTTTATGTATTCTATTTCATCTTCAGAAGTTAGGGCATATTTACAGTTAACACTATGTTTAAAAATTGGAGTTTTTGCTTTTTTTAAGAAATATCCACTAACATATTGTAATGGCGCAATTGTACGGGGGTTATTTAGTTTCAGTGTAATTGGTGTGAAGTATATTCCTAAAATGTTTGTGAAATCAAATGTGCAGGTTGACAATGCCTCTAAGTTTTCATTAACAATGAGAGTGTGCAAAGCATTACAATAATCTAGCTCGCTGTTTTTACCATGAGTGTGGACACTACTTAAGTTATTAATCAAAAGGGTAGCAAAAGCCCAAATTGGTCACAAGTTGGATTAATATTGTGGCACCCATGGCTTCTAACCGCACCAAAGAAATTTACCAGTGGGTCCTGATTTAGATGACACAACCACACTGATGTAATGCCACAATCTATTTCCAATTTTTTTTTAATAAAACTTCGATCCCTTCTAGTGTCCACACCCCATTGGTCACAGTTGGAATAGATTCTTCCATCCCAGTGGAAGATATAAATTTCATAGACACAAAAACTTTTTTGACATCCATCCATGTTTTGTGATGTATGGAGTGAGGTGCAGGTCCAAGTAGAGGTTTGGCATGTCTTCTCTTTTTAAAGCTGCCATTAACTAAGTCGAAAATATTGTTGCGCGCCACTATTAATGTCTTGTACATGGCAACACTAGTTACACTAGTGCCCTCTAGTGTCGAGTAAATGAAAGCATTGCGCGCCACTATTAATGTCTTGTACATGGCAACACTAGTTACACTAGCGCCCTCTAGTGTCGAGTAGCAGAACTAGGAGAGTCAAGATTCTTCCAGAAATTTCGGGACCGATATGTACTCGAACATTCTAGATGTCGCTACAGTAGAAGATTCTGGAAACTATCTGAGGCCCTATATAAGGCCGGTATAGACCACGACCGAGGCAGTATTGAATTGGCGATACAAGAGAATACTTCGAAGCGAAATAACGGCGAACTGTGTTTTATTATTAGTGTGATTTTAGATTGTAATTAGTGTTGTGTAATTAAAGTGTCAATTTTGGTAATTCAATCGGCAGTTTTTAATTGTCTCGAACCCCAAGCTCGTAACAATTGGTGTCAGAAGTGGGATCAAATATGCCGATTTTACCTAAAGACGACACCGAGGGTATCCATACCCGAAGTCAACGCCAACAGGAGACGGACCAGAGACGATTTGGTGGTGCAACGTCACAGACGTCGGCAGACCAGTTGCCGACCACGGAGGCCGGCCCGTCAGCAGCTCCTGCATCTGCAGCACCTGACTTAGGTACTCTGATGATGATGCTGCAGGAACAGGCTCGCCGACAGGAGGAACAGGCCCGCCGACAGGACGAACAAGCCCGCCGACAGGAGGAACAGGCTTGGCGGTTGGAAGAGCAGCTGCAGCGCGGACAGGAGGAACAGGCCCGCCAACAGGAGGAACAGGGCCGTCGGTTGGAAGAGCAGCTTAAACGCGATAAGGAAGAGCAGATACTTCTCATGAAGGACCTTCACGCTACCTTCGGGAAAGAAATAAGTGAGGTGAAGGATAAGGTTGCTCAATATGACAACCGCCTGTCGGAAGCTGAAACCCGAATCGACCAAGTGTACAATCGGGTTGACAATGTGATGGCTGACGTGAAGAAAACGCTGAACGACCTCA